ATTTTTCTTTAGAAAAACGTTCCCCATAGTAGGATTTTCTCCCGTGTCATGCGTTTACATATATACAAATTCACACATGACACTCAGACCCGAAATGATAATTTGTTTGGCAACAGGCTAGTGCTGAAAATCAGCGCCGCGACTCGAGCAATCGCGCTCGTGACACGACATTTTAGCTGAGCACTGGCCTTTTTGCACCTTGCACACTGTTGTTTTTTTATTAATATTTTTATTTTCTTGTCCTTTCTGTAATGGTGCAAATAAACTGTTTTTCTTCTTCTTGTTCTTCTTCTATCATACGAACTCGCAACATGTTGCTCGGCCTGTTGCCCAGCCACCGCGCAAACCGTATTAAATACATAGTATGAAAAGAAATAATTGATATTTTTGCGTGTATAGTTGTTACAGTGCTTTTATTGAGCAAAATATTTCGGGTGCGATGCCCGGGTTTGACACATTATTTATTATTGGAGATTTATTAGTTTCTCAAAAATTACTCATTCGTTTGGGATGAAATTTTGAACCGGGATTCATTACCACTTTGAATTATAAAAAATGGGTATCAGGTTGTATGGTCTGGAACAACACAATCAAAGAAGAACACGAGCAAAACCGCTGACGGAAGCTAGTACAAAATAAAAAAAGTATAAAAACTATCGATACAATACAATACCCATCACTAAGTGACGTCAGTTAGTATAACACAGAATGACAATTTATCTATTCAGAATATTCTCATTAAAATTCAATAGAAGGAACGTTCTTGTCTTTAGTTATCATAAGAAAACCCAAGTGCTGGTTCAAATTAATTATTCTAGAATAGAATAAAATTACAGACTTCAAGTGGGAATTTGTATTGATTGGGTAGGATTAAGAATAGCTCTAATTTTGATAACAGTATGGTCTAAGTTTATTCATCTGATGTCTAATGAACCAATACTATTATTTTTATGGGTTTTTTTTTAACGGGGGAAAATCATCGAATGACTGCTCCCGCCTGGGTGAGGCGGGAGGGAGTGTCAGACTCTTACTGACTAAAAACCACCCCGTTCCTTCTCCTGCACGTCGAGCCGGAGCCCCGGTTACCCGTTAGGTTCTCCGCGACATTTTTATGGGATAAGATGGTAAACGAACAGACGGATCACTTGAGGGTAAGTAATCGGCGTCGCCATGGACACCTGAAACACCAGAGCCTTACAGGTGCGTTATCGGCCTTTTGGGGATTAGGAATTTGAGGATTTTTGTGAATTCAGGGATTGGGGAATTGGGAGATTAGGAGAAGGGGAAGGGGGCTTGTTTGTTACTGTTGAACAACGAAAGCGTTATTTCACGTCAGTTTTCTGTGAGACCGTGGTATCACGGCGGTTAGCCGGCCCATTCGTGCCCGAGCATGTTATAAAGCTTAAGCTAATACATATAAAAATCAAAAGACTTGAAGATAGATATATAAAAATTTGAATAGCGTTATCTGCCTACCCACTTTGCTTAACTGAAAAACAGCATGCATATTCAAGCTCAAATAACCTACACAAGTTATTCATCACAAAAAAGAGCAAGATATCTTACCCAAACCATGGGTTTTACTTTCTCAAAAGAGTTTTTATAATCCCCTTTCAAAGTTCCCCATGTTTGAAGCGCGGCTGAACCATAGAATAACTTTGTACAGAGTTAAAATTGTTAACATTTAACTTTGCTCGACTGTCGCCAAACTGGATACTTCGTAAGGATAATTCATTTGGGAGTTTTGGAGTGAATGTGGAGTTTTGATAGCGTTATATCGTCACGTGGAAATTATTTTGTACAAGTTCTGTACAGACTTAATTTAGCTATGGTATAGGTAATGTAATAACATAACGTCACGCCCTTTATCCCCGAAATAGGTAGGTAGTGCAGATTACGGCACTTAATGCAACTATTTATGTTATGAGCCTTATATGTGTAATTGTATAATAGGGGGTAAGCCTATTGCCATATACCGCCATTCCAGATCCCGTGGTATTACTGAGATATTTTTCAAAAACTCAGTAATACTTTGCCCGCCCGGGAATCGAACCCGAGACCCCTTACGTGCGCGGTCGCGGCGACGTCGCGCAGCTCACTAGCGTACGCTGCTCATGAGGAAGAACCCCTCTGAGGTTCGAAACTAGTAGAGCTTTTCTCAGTATAATACAGTAAGCTACGTGAGATCGCCGCAACCGCGCACGCTGTTCATAAGGAAGAGCCCTTCTGTGGCTCGAAACTAGTAGAGCTTTTCTCAGTAGGTATATTCAAGCATCCCGCGATTTTTAGTTATCGGACCGTCTTTTTTTGTGTTCTATAAAATGTTGTTCCGGGTCTGAAAATGACGTGCATGAAAATTTATGTTTATACGCACCCAGGGCACAAGAGAAAAGCCTAGACTTAAGCAATGATAAAAAATACACTATGTGTAATATACCTTCAAATGTCTCAACGGTTAATCTGAAAAAATATACCATGAAAAAAAAACTAGCATATATTTTAAGTAAGTATAAATGTCATTGTTCATAATCCCACGTTCACATATAAATATTAAGTAAGTCTTCATCAAAGAATAAGAAATTCGCGAAAAATCCATATATAAGCAAATCATGTATTATGTCAAAGTAACACGTCAACATGTAAGTTCGATGACATGTCAGGTCGTTGACCTTAGGGTATAAGGGGTAGAATTTTGACCCCTACGTGATGGAAATACAATAGTAGGTATTTATAGGCTCTATTGTTATAATATTGGTAAAAGATACATTGACTTTTAATATCTCCAGATTATGGGTACAAAAACGTTTGTATAATATTGTTATATTAATGTCTCCATATGGATAGACATATAGATTTCATAACATAACATCACGCCTGAAATTAGATAAATAATATACTGCCTACTAGCCTATACTCTTAGTCGAATCTTACTACGCTCATGGCAAGAGTAGAGACGGATGACAAATGTATTCTACTCATTACCACACATGGCTTATTTTAAAATACATACGTACACAGTAATCCAGTAGTTAAATCATCTTCTACTAAGAATTAAATGAACACTCTTTGAAACCAAAAAGAAGAAAAATCCTCCCTTTTTAAAGCCAAAGCGAAACTTAGGAACTTAGCACCTAAAGTAAATAAGTTACTTACAACTTTAAAGCCGAGATTCGCTTGAAAACTACATTTTATTAACTAACCAAGTACACTGCGCTTGCCTTTGCAATTCTATTTAAATGTTTAAAAAGGTTTTCGTTTTGCTACAGAAGAATGGACTTAGTGCTACGTTTGTTCTTTTGAAATGCTAGGTTTTATATTTTATGATTACCCAGGTACAAGTATTTAAGATGAGGTATATTTTAAGAATATTGCAAAATGGCAAGTTGTAGAAAAAATTTCAAAATTTTAACCTCACTGTCATGTCGCTAGGTATTGTAATGAGTATGGAATTTGTATAGCCTTGTTGGCCGAGTGGTCGCAATTGTGACTGCCGGGGAAGGGGTCTCAAGTTTGATTCCCGGGTCGGATAAAGTAGCGGCACGGAGTCTGGAAATGTAAATTCAGTTATGTGTTGATCTGTTTATGTATTATTATTTTTGGTGTTTCCGTTCAGTTTAAGTCTCAGTAGTAGCTGGGAGTCTGGAATTGTCCGGGGACAATACATACTGGGGTATATGGCAATAGGCTCACCCCCTATTACATGGGACTTAAAACATAAATAATGAAAAGTGTGTGTTACATTGTACAGTGGCATTAAGTGCCGTAATGTCCACCTCTGCCTGCCCCTTCAGGGATAAAAGGCGTGATGTTATGTGTATGCGGAATTTGGACTAGTATGAGATTTAAAAATTAAGTAAATCAATTTCTACTTCAAAGTCATATTATATATTCGGGTTGAGAGTTATAATAGACCAATAAAATATGTTTATATTCACAAAATTACCCTTTCAATTCATCAAAAGATTTTTATGAGAATAAATAAAATATCTCGTGGTTTTCCGGAGGTTTAAGACTAAAGCTTAAGCTTCTCATGCATGAGGGTGCGGGTTCGAAACCTACCAACGGCAAGTACCAATGTGACTTTTACCGAGTTATATGTACATACTTTCTAAGATTACTTAGACACCGCTGACAAACGATAAAGGGAAACCTGTTTAAACTGTCAAACACCAAGCGGTCACCGGTGACCGCGACCTATTGTTCTTTAATTGTGTCTATAAAACCGGTACTCGACGAGTTAAAATCGTGAGGAAACCTGTTTAAAATCGCCAACAACGCCAAAGCGTGGTGATTAATTCTCTAACCTTCTTCGTGTAAGAATAGGCTTTGCTCAGCAGTAAGCATTCATAGGCTGTTGATGTATGTATGATGTAAATAAACAATTTCTGTAGGCATATTATCAAAATGGCTAGACAGAAATAAGAAATACCACGAAACATGAATCTAAGTTAACAATAGTGCAGTGCTCGAATCGGATGACCTTTTAAATATTTTGTTGGTTTCTACAGGGTGGCAATAATTTTCGTAAACTTCAATAATAACTACTAACTAAATCATTATACTTTTATGGGGGCCCACGGACGGCAAGCACGGATACGCTCGGGTCTAGTTCTGGTCGGGCAAAGTCAAAGTTAAAGTCAAAATAATTATTTCAATTAGACCACTTTTGAACGTTAACAACAAAAATTTAGAAGTGAAGCTAGTTGCTCATTCCAAGATGTAGATTCCTATGGAGAAGAACGAGCAAGAAACTCCATAGATTACTCTTTTTTAATCTGGTGTACAATACAATTCTCTAGTTACATAGTTTTGTTGGTTCGATTGTTATTGTACTATTCTGTATCGATTGTATTGGGCGGCGAGCTACTATATGCATAGTTAGCAAAAGATTTGCCTTCAACACTTATTTAACGACATTCAAGTGTAGGAGAGCCATGCTTCAGAATAGGCCGGCTCGACCGGAGTGATACCACGGCCTCACAGAAAACCGACGTGAAACAATGCTTGTGTTGCTTTTCGTCATGTGAGTGAGGTTACCGGAGGGCCAATTATTCCCCACCCCCGCATCTTCCCAATCCCCGAATCACCAATAATCCTCAAATTCCTAATCCCCAAAAGGTCAGTAACGCAACTGCGTTACAAGTGCCTTACAAGTGTGAAGCCTCAGATGTTTCAGGGCGACGCCGATTCGCATCCTATAAATACTATAAAAAATAGTCAAAGACTGAACCAAACTCCTAGTCACCCTTGCTCTTATATGCTCAAATAACCTGACCCATTTAAGTATTCAGGTCCACCGTCACAGCTGCTAGGCGTCTATTTCGAAACTTGTTCATTGATATTCTCTGAATGGTCGCGCTAGATATATATTTTTAGATTTTTCTAATATAGACAGTACAGAATAAGTGGCAGCACTGTCGTTTTTGGGGGCTGAAATCTATATTTATTTCGAATAACATTAGCCTGTATATTTTACAGTACAGATGATCCCATTGGTAAGTCTCAGACAGTCAGACCCGTTTGAAGGTTTTTTTTTGGTTTGTTAAAGTAAAACACACAAACTTTGTGATGACCTCAAAATAGATTCCGGGGAACAATATTTCTTTTTTATGACATAAGCCGGTAAACGAGCGGACGGATCACCTGATGGTAATCAATCGGTGTCGCCCATGGACACCTGAAAAACCAGAGGCGTTACAAGTGCGTTACCGGCTTTTTGGGGATTAGGAGTTTGAGAATTCAGGGATTAGGGAAATTGGGGAAAGGGAGGGTAATTGGGCCTCCGGTAACCTCACTCACACGACGGAACGTAACGCAAGCGTAGCTTCACGTCGGTTTTCTGTGAGGCCGTGGTATCACTCCGGTCGAGCCGGCCCATTCGTGAAAATTATACCTTCGTGAGTTAAAACTATCTTGGGTAGACGACTAATTTTTATTTTAATGTCCGTCTGATAGATTATTTAAAAACATTAGACACGTATTTTTTATTTTCTCACAGAAACGAATAGTTTCGAAGATATATTGATTTGAAATGTCGCGTGACGTCACTTCTCAGTACATTTTATACTAAGAAATGACGTTTTAGCCCCCACTCCTAAACTTTGACTCGTTATATCTAAGTATTGTTTTATTATACGACAAAATAAAAAAATACGTGTCTAATATTTTTTCATTACCTAACTTACGGCCTAATTATATTTTTAATTTTCATACCCTGTCATCATCCCCATTGATGGAAATGTATGTCCCATTCAATCAGGGTCGGATTTAGGGGGGGGGGCAACCGGGGCGAAAGCCCCGGGGCCTCCACAAGCAGGGGGCCTCCACAATAGAGACTTCGGAAAAAAATCTTTCAAATTTCAACTAGTAAACCTAGTAAACACACCTTTACCTACAGCCTAAAGTACTTTATACATACATGATTATTTGATTATATTAATTTTAAATATAAACAGAAACAGAAATCATTGATCTATATTTGTTCACTCCAATCAGGCAATCAGTGAAATATCAAAATCTCAAATGGCTCTGATAAGCACTTCCAATTTACTACCCATCTTGTACCCCAATGGCTCAATGGCTCAGAGGGATGGTACTTGCCCGCAACCTCGGAGGTTGGCTATTCGATTCCGTGTCTCGACCATTAAAAAAATTAATTGCAGTATGTGAACAATTGGTATTCTTCAATTCTTAAACTCGAAATCTGTCGAACGTCCTCGAAATCTATCGAGCATCCTCGATCGTTTTCGACCGTCCTCGATTGTTTTCGAGCGTCCTCGAAATCTATCGGGCGTCCTCGAAATCTATCAAGCGTCCTCGAAATCAATCGAGCGTCCTCGATTGTTTTCGAGCGTCCTCGAAATCTATCGAGAGTCCTCGATCGTTTTCGAGCGTCCTCGAAATCTATCGGGCGTCCTTGAACTCTATCGAGCGTCCTCGAAATCTATCGAGCGTCCTCGAAATCAATCGAGCGTCCTCGATTGTTTTCGAGCGTCCTCGAAATCTATCGAGAGTTCTCGATCGTTTTCGAGCGTCCTCGATTGTTTTCGAGCGTCCCCGAAATCTATCGAAAGTTCTCGATCGTTTTCGAGCGTCCTCGATTGTTTTCGAGCGTCCCCGAAATCTATCGAAAGTTCTCGACCGTTTTCGAGCGACCTCGATTATTTTCGAGCGTCCTCGAAATCTATCGAGAGACCTCGATCGTTTTCGAGCGTCCTCGAAATCTATCGGGCGTCCTCGAAATCTATCGGGCGTCCTCGAAATCTATCGAGCGTCCTCGAAATCAATCGAGCGTCCTCGATTGTTTTCGAGCGTCCTCGAAATCTATCGAGAGTCCTCGATCGTTTTCGAGCGTCCTCGATTGTTTTCGAGCGTCCTCGAAATCTATAGGGCGTCCTCGATCGTTTTCGAGCATCCTCGATTGTTTTTGAGCGTCCTCGAAATCTATCGAGTGTCCTCGATCGTTTTCGAGCGTCCTCGAAATCTATCGAGAGTCCTCGATCGTTTTCGAGCGTCCTCGAAATCTATCGGGCGTCCTCGAAATCTATCGAGCGTCCTCGAAATCAATCGAGCGTCCTCGATCGTTTTCGAGCGTCCTCGAAATCAAGCGAGCGTCCTCGATCTCAATCTGGAAAATAATTTGGGGCAAGGGGCCTCCACTCCTTTGTTGCCCCGACGCCTCTGGACCCCTAAATCCGGCCCTGCATTCAATGATGTTAAAATAAAACGGTCACAGCCTTTCGAAACAACGCCTATGGCACCTAGCTACTATAGATTTAGCAGTTGACACGACTGTAATAGAACTACAATCGGACTGCACATTTGGTTTCAAGTTCAATTGCAGTTGTGACACGACTGCATTCAAACTACATCCGCACTGCAACTTGCAGTTGGATTACAGTTGAAATGCGGTTCGTCTGTTTAGAGCTGTACACGTATTTTTTTTTTTTTAAGTGGGGAAAATCATCGATTGACTGCTCCCGCCTGGGTGAGGCGGAAGGGAGTGTCAGACTCTTACTGACTAAAAACCACCAGCTTACTGACTAAAAAAAGATCAGCCAAATCGATCTAGCCGTTTTCAAGTTATGGCGTGACAACGGGAAACGCGTTTCATTTTTATGTGTATAGATTTCTACTAAAACCTTTTTGGTAGAAAACCAAGTCATTGGAATTAAGTAAATAAATATTTTCTACGAAAGAACAATATTCATTATACTTTCTGCCTCACTATTACACTTCCAAAAATACACAACAAGTCTATTTAGTATACTTTCTTCCATTATAGTTAATGCTAGTTGGTTATCTAAACAATTAATCGAATGGCCCTTGGTTGTGACCAGTATGACAACCTACCCTAATCTGCCAATTTCCACATTTCATTTTCGACTTTATACTAAAAGAATAAAGTTAGAAATCGAATTTTGACAAAAATGTTTAGATTGACGTGCTGGTGACTATTTTGCGGTCAATTTCAACATTTCATTAACGACTTTATAACAAAATAATAAAGTTCAAAATCGTATTTTGAAAGAAAAGGGTAGGTTTACGTGCTGCGACTATCTAGTGGGTCGTTTCTATTTCTAGATGAAGTAATGAGTTAGTTCAATTTGTTTAAAGACCACTTTAGCCTGCTTCTAATGATTGCTCGTCAATCGACACGAATCGAACAAATAAACTATTGGCTCGGTCCTTTGTCAATTAATCGAGGTTTAATTGGAAATGAAGAAAATGTGAAGATGATTTAGATCTTTCTAATCACCAGTTAAAATTAATCAATGAATTAATTGCCACAGATAAAAATAAAGATGAAGATATATTTATTTCTCGAAGAGCAGGAGAAGGAACGGGTGGTTTTTAGTCAGTAAGAGTCTGACACTCTCTCCCGCCTCACGCGGGCGGGAGCAGTAATTCGATGATTTTAACCCTTAAAAAAAAGTAGGTACATGGTATATAGTGAGATCTTACATTATACATAGAAACACCTATACTACCATTTCTGGTGTAGAAATATTAAATAAAGTCGCTACAAATCTTACACATTACAATAATTTTCATATGATACAATTATATTAATTAATCTAAATTCATTGAAAAAGAATACATGTTTTGTCCAAATTATTACGTCAAAAATAAGTACAAATTTAATAGATACCAAATAGGATAAATTAAAAAAAATGTTTGTCATAGTTACTGGTTCCAGTGTCAAACATATATTAATCATAATGTCAATATTACTAATAGCATCAAATATTAATTACAATGTCAAAAAGGATGATTTAAAATTCATTGACGGAATAAAAACACATGTCCAAGAGCCAAGTAAACATTTGACATTTGAATTTATTAATTGGTAACATTTTGAATGCAGGTGGTAGTTTATTTTTTATTGTCATTCAACTCGCATTTCTACTATACAGATATTACTTTCAAGTATAATTATATAGTTTGTGAGTAGTGATAATAAGCGTAGAATATTGTATACGTTCTAAGATTATAGACACCACTGACAAATGGTAAAGGAAACATCGTCAGGAAACCTGGGCGAGACGCAAAGGGGATGTGTGATAATGTTGTCTACTCGTCGACTAAACGTGTTGCTAAATTATCACAAATGGTATGCGGATAATGGTTTACAAATGGCGCTAACTTCTATCCAATCAGTGGGTTGGTAACCTATCAGTACTAATAATAGTTATTTTTTGGTTTTTAGTTCTGACTTTTTGTTAGCTATTATTTTTTTTTTACGTTTCAAGATTTTAAACGATTTCTAGTGTTACAGATAAAATACTATAAATTTGAACAAATAACTAGTTTATATTTATAAACTATTATTAATATTGACGGAGAACCGTTGGTTAAGTTTCCTCAAGAGGAAATATTACATTATTTCCATTTTCCTTAGTCCCAAAACACTCTATTTTTGTCCACGACAACCGAAGTGATTTATTATGATATCGCAACAATTTATTTGTTTGTAGGTAGCCGTTGGATTCAATTAATATTTCGGGAAAAAAACGTATTTTATACGACTAATACTTTTTCATGAGATTGAAAAATAATGTTCTACTAACCTAGTGACCTCAAATGGCCTGGTCTGTTTTCGTCACGTTTCAAACTTTTGTTTAACAATTTTACTCACGTTGCACTTTATATTTATCAAATGAGTAAGAGGTAGCCATTTTGTTTTGAAGCTGACAGCCCTGGTTTTGTTTTGATACCTTGGTTTTGCGACTGGTCGTATTAACATGGCGTCTCAATAAAAAAGTCTCTGGATGGCCACAAAAAAAAATAACCGATTTAAAAATGGAACGTAATTTGTATGCAATAGTTTTCGGCCAGTTAATCAAGAATTGGTATTATAACTCTTTTAAACTGTCAAACACAGCGAGGACACCGGTGACCGCAACCTATTGTTCTTTAATTGTGTCTAATTGTCTATAATGACGGTACTCAAAGAGTTAAAACATTATCAGACTGCCTCGTTGGCCGAGTGGTCGCAAGTGCGACAGTTTCGGTTTCGGGATCAATTTACGAGTCCGGCAAAGTATTCATAGGTTTTTAAAAAAAACTACTGAGAGTAGATGGCTATAGTCTGGAATTGTGCCCGGTATATGGTAATAGGCTCACCGCTTATTACATGGCACTCATAACATAAATAGTGAAAAGTGGATGTTACATTGTACAGTGGCATTAAGTTCCGCAATGTGCAACTCTTCCTACTCTTTCGGAGATAAAGGGCGTGATGTTATGTAAAACATTATCAAAATAAAATGTACTACTTTGTATTCAGCAAACGAATTTATTTTGTCATCGTAGATAAAAAAAAGTATTTTGATTCGGAACAATTTTTCAGTAATAAAAAATTCAATTACATTTCTATATAGGACTATACTGGAATTTGTTTATTAAAAATTGTTGAATATGCTACAAAATAGTTCGTACCTAACTTTTCAACAAGTATTTTTTTAAGGGGGGAAAATCATCGAATGACTGCTCCCGCCTGGGTGAGGCGGGAGGAAGTGTCAGACTCTTACTGACTAAAAACACCCCGTTCTTTCTCCTGCACGTCGAGCCGGAGCCCGGTTACCGGTTAGGTTCTCCGCGACTCCGAATCGGCATCGGCGCTATTGGGCCCCATCTGTGGTGGTCTGATGGAGCTTTGAGGCGCGCGCGGAACGCGACGCGCCGTACGCTGGGGTCTGTTTCTGGTCGAACGGGGAGCCACCCACGCTCGCCGTCCACAGGCCCGCGCTTACGGTGGCCGGAGATCGTCCCGCGCCCGGTGTGTCTTTCGCTTTCAACAAGTATAAACTAACTAAAAAATGCTGAATCATTCAATGTAATATAATTTAGACGACACAGTTGGTGTGGTGGCTGGGCAGCCTGCTGCCGCGCAACGTGTCGCAGGTTCGCTTCCCGCACGGAACAATTCTTTGTCTGATCCACAAATTATTGTTTTTGATCTGGATATCAACTGTATGTGAATGACACAGGAGAAAATAATAGGGTGGGGCAACGTTTAAAAAAAATTGTAAACTTAACAGTTAACAGTATCTAGGTATTATAGATTTTTTATCTAATTTCGATAAGAATCGTTCTTTCATAACTCACACATAACGTCACGTTTACTAATCCCAGTTAGATAAAGAGGAGTTAAAAAAGATAAAGTTATAACAGTTATACCATAACCAAAATTATAACTTATTTATATTAACAACTGCCTGCCGACTGCCTCATAGGCCGAGTGGTCGCAAGTGCGACTGCCGAGTCGAGCAAAGTATTACTGGGTTTAAAAAAAAACTATATAATAAAAAATACCTATAATGGTAATACCGAGTTTCTTATAATCACAAGGTACAGTAACTGGGCACTAAGCGAAACTTAGGGCAGTTCCGTGACAACGTCTTCACCCGGTGGCGGCTCGAACTGACGTGAGCTCCGCCGAGTGCGACTCTGACGCCACGACTCTGTCTAAGCGCACCAGAAATCCGATAGGTGGCGCGCTTTCGTTCCATTTAGCGTCCAAACTCATGACCGGCTCCGACATATATAACTTGGAAAAAGTCACATTGGTAAGTACTTGCCGTTGGTTGGCTTCGAACGCGCACTCTCATGTATGAGAAGCGAGTTAACCTGTGAGCCAGGACGACATTTTTTGCGACTACCACGAAAAGCATCATGATTTAACATAAGTTATTATCATTCAGGCTTGGCTGAACGCTTAGACTTCATAGTTTTAATCTGCGTAGCACACTGAATACTTACTGCTTACCACTCCAAGGCACAGGCGTAATGTTATGTAACTGAACATATTCTAGTATGTTATTTACTAGTGAACCAGTGACTTTTACACATTAATCTTGAAATAAGAGTTCTAAGAGGTTTCTTAAGAGCAAACAATTAATTTGATTCCAATATCGACCTTATTTTCAGGGGCCTGTAGTAGTTTTCTAAATTTTATTTTACTGTCCCTCTGGTAGATTATTTTAAAACATTAAACACGTATTTTTCTTTTCTCATAAAATTCAATGCTTTCAGTGATATAAATATTGATTTCAAATATTATGTGACTACTTTTAAACCTAACTCCATTTTATTTAAGTATTGTAACTTTATATGAGAAAATAAAAACGGTCGTTACGTCACAACGTGCGGTAAAATGTTGCACGCTGTTACGTCGCACGATATTTCAAATAAATGTATCGTTGAAAGTATTGAATTTTAAGAGCAAAGAAAAAATACGTGTCTAATGTTTTAAAGTAATCTACCAGACGGACATTAAAATAAAAATTAGGAAACTACCGTATTCTGCATGTGCATACGTGTTCAGCCACATACGTGTTCATATATTTAGTTTCACACAAAGCGAACGATGGATTTAAAATAGTATTAGAAAACTTAAAAACTATCATAGAGTTCACCTTGCTCTTTGATATTAGTAACTTATTTGTTTTATACCACATTGGATTTTAGAAACTCAGGAGACAGGAGAAATAAAGAGTACCACCATTACAATTCACCTTATATTGTTAACATCGAAATCCAATTACAAATTCAGAACTAGCTAAACCATAACTATTAATTGGAAAGAAAAACAACAACAATAACACATGAATAGGCAAATTGACTTTCAAATAGAATAAAATTCCCTCAACACCAAATACACCGTCTCAATAATTTCCGAGTTCCCGCCATCTTGACTTTTTCATTGTTCGAACCACAGATTATATTTTCCCGCTACGCGATGACATTTCGTTCCTTTTTGTCTATGCTTCTAACACGGCCTCTCCTGACTGGAGCACGTCCTCGTGCTCCTGTGTCGCACTGTCACATATTTACAGCACACGCTCCGTAGCAGGGACATCACCGCGGCTTCTGGCAGCTTGTTCAGCTGTGAACTCTATACTGTTTGCATCTGAGAACATAAGAATTGGATCGGGACGACGGTGGTTACCGGCGGTCACATCGATCCATATTAAATCGTTAGCGCAGGTCACAAAAAAATAGCCAGAGAGGAGGCACAACATTAGCTATCTCGGTTAATGTGGACCACATGATAGGCATCATATTACCGTATCACATGATCCATGGAAAAACAAATCATCACTTGAGAACATAAGGATTGGGTCGGGACACCGGTTTTTTTCCGAAGACACATCGACCCATATTAAATCGTTAATCTTATCAATTACCAAAAACGTGACGTGTGAGTTCAATACCTTCTGCACCTGAAATTATAAAAATTGTATCGGGATGTCGTTGGTTACCGACACAAACAACTACATGTACACATTGATCCATAATAATTCAAAATACAGGCAGAGAGGAACACAGAGAGGAAGCACTACGTTAGCTATCTCTACTATAACAACTACATGACAGGCACGACGTTAGCATATCATAAGTCTAAAGTAGGTTGAGTAAGAGTAAATAGGTTGTTTTTGTTAGGTAGGTAAGAGTAAATAGGTTGTTTTTGAATTGTCGGTTTTTATTGTTTGGTTGATTTTTTAATATTTTATTACTTAAATATTTAACTGTATTTGATCTCATTATTGTTCCTAATTTTAGTTATAATGTAATATTTTAATTGTGTATTTAGTGACATGTAGACGATTTGGTAGATATAATACTGTTAGTCTATATTGTTGTAATTATAAATAAATAAATAAAGTCACCAACACAGTAAAGTAATCAATAGTGAACTAGAGGCACGACGTTAGCGTAGCTCACAATCATAAAACATACTCAGAGAGGAAGCACTACGTTAGCTATCTCTGCTATAACGACTACACGACATAGGCACGGCGTTAGTATAGTTCACAATCATAAAACATACTCAGAGGAAGCACCGTTAGCTATCTCTGCTATAACGACTACATGACATAGGCACGGCGTTAGCATAGTTCACAATCATAAAACATACTCAGAGAGGAAGCACTACGTTAGCTATCTCTGCTATAACGACTACATGACATAGGCACGGCGTTAGCGTATCATGAGTCACGAACACAGGAAAAAAAAACACAATCAATAGTGAACCATAGGCACGACGTTAGCATAGTTCACAATCATAAAACATACTCAGAGAGGAAGCACGACGTTAGCTATCTCTGCTATAACGACTACATGACATAGGCACGGCGTTGGCATATCACGAGTCTCTAACACATGTGTAATAATTAATACCTACGTTAGCATATTATTCACACGCACATTACACACACAATACACATCAGAATATCAGATATCACACAATGTTAGCGTACCATATTGTGTGGGAAGGACACATTTCTACAGTCCGAAGCTATCCACATAGCACTAGAAACTCCGCCACAGTCTGTGTCGCGTTTCCACACGAGTATACCATCTATTAGCAGTCGTAACACTTAGCGCTGTAGCCTTCACCACACTACACACCACACCACACTCGATCTTGTCAGACGTTCTGTATCCGCTCGGACACACCTGACTATGACTTTTAGTCCATCCTAAATATTCT